CTCAGAAACCACCCGGTCCAACCCTCATGAAGTTGTACAGATGGAAAATTTGAGAGCCCAGAGGGAGAAGGGGCTTTCCCAAGGTCACTCTGTGAGTGAGACCTAGGTCTGCTGCTCCACCCCCCCACCATATAGCTAAAGTTCATCCGATGCCTCCTTATTATCATCACTTATCCTGCCTCCTCTGCTCCCTTATTGCAGAACCCTGGGTATCTAGAAGCACCTCTCTCTCTCTCTCACTCTTGCTCTCACTCTCGCTCTTGCTCTCAGTTTCTCTGCCATCTGAGAAAACCCACAAGCCCCTGGAGCCTGGAAAGTTCGGCTGTCTCACATAGGGACAGATCAAGGCCTGGTAATCAAGGGTCTTAGAATCTGGTCCCCAACTCTGCCATCAGCTGGCAGTTTACTGTTTGGGCTTTAGAAACCCCCTCTGCACCTTGCAGGAATCGGACTTGGTGATCCTCACCCTGTCCTGTAACAATCCCAGGTGCCCTCCAGCGCTGGGTGGCAAGCCAGCAGCCTGGGACCTGGTATGCGTGATATCAGCCCAGACACCACCCCAGGCTAGATGCACACACCATCTCCCACCAGTGCGGGTGGGGCGCTGAGAGGCCCCTCCATGCATGCAGATGCCCCTCCCTCTGAGCCATGCCCCTGCCTCCCCACCCCCTCACCTTGCCCTTTGTCAATAAAGCTGGTGATGGTGTTGGCCAGGCCTGCCTCCAACTTCACGCTGCTGTTGCCTCCCTTTCTGTCAGCATCGGACAGTGTCCTGTACAGCGAGAGCATGTACTCGTGGGGCGTGATGGGGGGCGGGCGGAACGGCTCCTTAGGCTCTCGAGGGGGCCCAGGCTCCCTGGCCTTCTTCAGCAGGAAGGGGTTGGGGACAGATCCTGCCTTTGGGGGTGCCTTACCCCCAGGAAGCTGTCCTTTTGCGGTCACAGTCCGCGTTGCAGCCTGCCTGGTGTGGGGAGGGTGTCCTGGCTTGGGTTCAGGTCCACCCGATCTGGGGGGCAGCTTTTTGGGTTCATCCTTCTTGGGCTGTGTCAGGCCTCCCGTCTGCCCGGTGCCCCCCTTTGCCCTGGCATTGGTGGCCCCCCCACCATAGCTGTGTCCCCCTGGCCTGAAGATGTTCCGGGCCAGAGGGGGCCTCTCCTTGGCTTCTGCTTTGGCCAATCCCGACCTGGCCCCCTGGGGTCTCTGGCCCAAGTCAGGGGCACCCAACACAGTGCAGATGAATTCCAGGTCCAGCCAAGCCAGGTGCCAAAGCAAGAAAGTGAGGAGTTTGGGGAGTCTCATCCTCTGGCCAGCCGCTGAATGACACCAAAGAGAACGGCGGCAGCAGCGAAGGTGCCTCTGGTTTGGCAGGAAAAACCATGAAAGGAGTGGACCCTCAAAAGCAGCGGCAGCAGCAGTAGCAGCAGAAGGAAAGGCTTTCTCCTCAGTCTGAGACTCTTTAAGTCTGCCGGGTGTGTGTTTGTATCCAGTCCCATAGTGGAAATGCTCTCGGATCCAGACGTGCACCGTCTCCAGTCAGCAGCTGAAAATAACTCGTTCTTGAAAGGAGAAAGCCGACCGCCCCCTTTCTCCTGCACAACTGACTGAGGGTTTGAAGGAGGCTTGTATAAGGCTGAGGGATTTTTCCAAGAAGGAAGAATGGCGTAATGCTGCCTGTGTGCTCCAGTTTTTTTTTTTTTAAGTTTTGAATCCTTTCCAGTGAAAATACTTCACACACACACACATACACACACACACACACACACACACACACACACGCCTGCAGGTGCTCAGAAAAATCTTTTACAAACCTGAACTCAGGAATTGGAAACGGAATTCCAACCCAAACCAATTTAATTACTCTCTGATGTCATGCTGTCTAAACTCATTTAAGTGCGATATATTTATGTGAAAAAAATCACTGCTGCCCTTTCGAGGCCATGGCTCACGGGGGCTCTTGGCACAGAGCCCCGCAGCGGGACGCTAGGCTTAGGGGGCCTCTCAGTCCATGGAGCAGACTCAGGGGTCCTCACCTCCACCTCACCGGGCAGCCCACCCCACCTTCTTAAGGAGAGATGCTGAGGAATGAGCTCAAGGATCTTAAGCCCCAGAAGCATGGGGAGTGTGGGTTTTCAGTTAAGTCCGTGGGGTGTTTTTAAAGTAGTTTCAATGCCTGTGTCTAGTCTGGGGCCTGATTTGTTGTTGGGGGCAGCACAGATGGCAGCATTTACCCACAGTTTCTTTTATTTTAATAAACTTGTGGTGACCCAGAGACAGAAAAATATCAGTACCCACTACTCCCCTTCTCCCAAATGCCATTGACTGAGCTCAGATGATTTCTTCAAACTTGAGGGGGCACACTGCCACCCCCCACCAGCTCACTCTTTGGTTGGAGGCAGGTCCACAGTGTACCTCACTACCACTCCAGCAAAGGCAAACTCCTGAGTTCCCCTGGAAAGGGCTGGCTGGAGCCAGAGGTGGCAGCCCCAGCCTGGGGGAGCAGCGCCCCCTGCAGGATACTGGGGGTAAAACTGACTTCCACAGGATGCTTGTCTGGGACTCAAGCGTTTCTTCTAGTGCCTCACTGCAGTATTGAAGCCTCCTTTCATTGGAGAGCCTGTCACACAGGTTCCTAGACAGCTCATCACAGGATTTCAAAGGAAACCCTCCATCTGGATATTCCCTCCATCTGGATATTCCCTCCATCTGGAATACCCTCTTTCACTCCCACAACTGGAAGAAGTCCTCTACAACCTCAGAGGATCAGTTGAAAACTCACCTCCTCTAGGAAGCCTTCCCTGATGTCCAGACAGAGTCAATTATTTCTTCTTGTACGTTTCACAACAACACAGCACTCTGTCAGAGGTACTGCACAGGCAGAAACAGTAGTCGGGTAGAGTTCTTTCTTAATCTGAGATCCTTGGAGACTGCCTAATAGAGATCTGTTTATACTCTAAGGTTACCAGATTGGTTTCCCAGCATAACTTGGCACAGAGTAGAAATCAGTAAGTGCATGATGAGTGAAAGAAGATGAAATTCATGGTTGGGGGGTCCAAGTGCCCAACCAGTCTTCATGGTAATGTTCCCAGATGCTTACTGATCTTCAGAGCACAGCAGCATAATATGGCCATTTCAAACTTCATCTGGGGTTCCCAGGTCAGAAAACCCACCTCCCCATCTCAAAGGACCAATGCACCACCAGACAGTCTTCTGAGGAGCTTTCAGGATGTCAAGTATTTGCTCAAGTTCACAATACCTGACTTATTTTTTTTTTTAAGAGGCATGTATATTTATTTATTTATTTGTTTGTTTGTTTGTACATGCACTGGGTACAGTCAGAAGCGCGGGAGGGTGAGAGAATTCACCAGAGCCAGAGCAGGGAGCAGAGCAGGCAGAAGGACCGAAGTACACTGCTGAGGGGAGCAGCGGGCGGCAGGAGAGGTCTGCGCGCCATGTGGGACCCTCCTCCGGTGGCTGGGGAGCAGTCGGGGATCGAACCGGCACCGCTGAGGCTGTGGGCAGCTTCGCAACCCAGCGCTCAACCGCTGCGCCACCAGGGAGGCCCCTGACTTATTTTTAAACTTGTTTTCACTCAAGCTTCATCTCCGGTGTTCCTCCCTCCTCTCTACCCCCACTGCCTCACTGTCTCAGTCCCCTCCCCACAGGCTTCCTATGATAATTCCCTTATGTTTTGCTTCTAGAACTCTAGGATCTCTGTGCTTCAACCCTCCATCTTTCTAAAATCTATACATTGAAAAGTGCCAACTTATGTGACCTCTCTTCCACGAAGCCTTCCCTCATCACCCAGGAGATACACAACGCTGAATTGCCATCACATCTGTTCTGTGCCCCTTTTTACTTTGGCAGCTCAAAGATTATCCAGTTCTGCCTCTGCTCCTGTCTTCAGGGAGCTATGAAATGAACACAGTTCGTTTCTTATACTCTGTGTACTTCGTTCATGTTTTTTTTTTTTTAAGATTTATTTATTTATGCATACAAGAACTGGGGTATGGGCCAAAGGTACGGGGGGGGGGGTTAGAGGATTCACCAGAGACAGAGTGGGGAACAGAACAGGCAGATTGACTGAAATACACTGCTGAGGGGAGCAGCGGGTGAGACAGGAGAGGTCCCCTATGCCATGTGGGTCAGCTCCCTGGCTGGGATCAAACTCATGCTGTGCTGAGACTTAACCCCTTGCACCAACAGGGAGGCCCTTTGTTCATATTGTTAACATCGTAACTTAAGTCCTTATAACCACTTACATACCTTCCCCAGAAGAAGATAGATTATGACTAGGCTGTACCACATTTATCTTTCACTTATTCCCACTGCTGTGCAGAATACATCCAGCACAAAACAGGTTCTCAGAATGTGTTGTATGAATGAATGGATCCCCAATTGGTCCTCCTGCACAAAAGTCATCACTTTCTACATTAAGGTGTAGTTACTTGTGGATACACCATGCCTTCCCTGATGTACTCTGTGTTCCTTAGAAGGATGGACTCTATCTTCTCATTTATGGGGCATTTTGTAAGTTCAAGTGAGCATATACATGAAAGAATCAACCAACAATGATGTCCCTGCACATGGTTTGATAAAAAGCAAAGTCTTCAGAGGCAAACATACCAGAGTCTGCTGTATAATTTACCGCACTGTGTGATCTTTGCAAGTGTCTAAACTTCTCTGAAATCCTAAACAGGGATCACCACAACAGCATTTATCTCACAGTATTTGGAGGTATCTTCAGGGAGCTATGAAATGAACACAGTTCGTTTCTTATACTCTGTGTACTTTGTTCATGTTTTTCCTTTTTTAAGATTTATTTATTTATTCATACAAGGGGTGGGGAGGAGGAGTTTAATGATAGGAATCATAAAAGTGATTAGCCTAGCACAATAGCTAGGAAATACTAACAATAGCTACTAAACTGAGCATTTACTCTAGCAAACTAGACTCTAGTCTTTGTATCCTTTTGAATTTTTATCTTTTTTTTTACTTAACAGGGAAAAAAAGCAAATGCATTTCTCTACTACCACAAATGATGCAGTTGAGTTTCCCACACTTGGGGAAATGGCAGGTGTTAGCACATCCGGGGTGCAATGGACAAGCCTTGCCCTGGGAAAACCACCTTTGTGATCATGGTATCTCCCCTGCCACATAAATGCTCTTTATCTTCGCAATCTTATGATGCAGGTTCTCTTAGTATGCCCATTTACAGGTGAAGCAATCAAAGTTCAGAAAGGTTAAATTACTTTTTAAGCCTGCTTTCTGCTTTGACACATTTTATGCCACAGAATGTTAACGTGGCCTCTAGAAACACAAGAGGCAGTAAAAGGGTCCGGGGGAGAAGAGGGCCATCACAGTACTTTTGACTTTTGGTCAGGTCCTTCCTATCCAAGGGGTTGGAACCTTGGGTTCGTGGAGGTGTCTCAGAGTAGGGGCTATTGTTGAGGATCAGAGAACTCCCGAAATGGGGTGGGAGCAGGGAATGGGGACTCTGAGCTTGCTTAGAAGGCCGTCTCCAGGGAGGAGCCCAGGGGACCAGCCTGGCTCTCACTATAAAGGTGACTAATCACTTCGGTCCCCTCTGGTAATTGCAACCAGATGCTGCTGCTGGCAGTGCTTCAGTCCCAACATGTTTAATTACTAGGATGCAGAGTCCCTTGGTCCCCCATGTCCCACTACCTCCCCCTCTCCTGTCAGCAATATTAACGTCAAAGTTAGAGGATGGGAGCCCAGGGAAACCACTGGCATTGAAATAATTTTTATAGTCCCTTCTACCACATAAAGCCTTGAACTTTTATATGTTTCCTCATCCACTATCTCATTGGCACTTCACAAAACATTCTCATAAAGTCGCCAGGCCAGAGTATTATTATCCCCATTTCACAGATGAGCAAACAGTGAACTGAAGAAAAAAGAATAACCCTTTGCTTTTTTTTTAAAGCATTTAGCAATTTTCAAAGTGATTTCACATTCATTCTGCTAGCTGAACCTCCTGAGAACTCTCAGAGTCAGTTCAGCACAGTAATTAGGAGCACAGACTTCACGGTCAGGCAACTTGGTTTGTGTCCTGGCTCTGCCATGAACCAGTTAAGTGACCTTGGGTATTCATTCATTTATGTATTTAATTATTCAGTAGATACATGTTGGGTGTTTACCCTGTGGTAGACTCCAAGCATAATAAATAGCAGTGGAAAAGGCAACAAAATCTGTCCTCACATTGCTGCAGAAGAGACAAACAAGCAAACAAATGAATCACTTCAGAGAATTCTAAGTGCTGTGAAGAAAAATTAAGCAAGGTCAAATGGAAGTCTATTTTAGATAGGAATGTTTCTTTGAAGGGATGACATGTAAATAGGGATCTGAATATTGTGGGGGCATGAACCATACAAAAATCTGGTGGGGGTGATGATTTCGTGTGGAGAGAACAGCAAATGCAAAGGCCCTGAGGTAGGACTGTGCTTCCCATATCTGAGGAACCATGAGTGCAGCTGAAACAGTCTGAATGAGGAGGAGGAAGTTGAGGTAAAATCATGGCAGGACCACATTAAGTATCACTTTGCTTGCAAGTCAGGGATGAGGAGTTGGAAATTTATTTTTAGTGCAGTGGGGAACCCAATGGAGGGTTATAAGCAGGGAGCTGTCTGATTTGTAATATAATGATTAACATCTGGGCTACCTGCCTCCAAATCCTGGCTCTCCCATTTCCAGCTGTGTAATCTAGGGCTAATCATTTTGTCTCTGCGTGTCTCAGTTTCCTCATGTATAAAATGAGGATAATAACAATATACCAACCTCATAAAGTTGTTATGAGTTGTTGTGGCTTCTTAGGACAGTGTATCATGTGTAATGACTACGACATAAATGTTATCAATTATTTATGTTTTTTAAAAAATTACTACTCTAAATCTCTTTACCTATAAAATTAGAGTAAAAACAACTTCACAGATTGGTTATAAAACAAAATGTATTTACACCTGTAAACACCTTTCTTTCAGTGACCAGCATAGAGTAGATGCTCCATAAATTAAAGTTTAAAAAACAAAGATTCATTTTCTGATCTTTTTCTCTGCTTCACAAATGAAGAGTCTTACAAAAGCTAAGTGAGTGGCACAGCTAGAAATGACAGACGCCTGACTCCAAATCCTGTGCTCTTCCCACTGCCAAGAAGGATGGCTCCTTCCCAGTACAGCCTACAGGTTAGAGATTGCTGGAAAGGAGGGGCCATAGCCCTGAACCTCCCTCTATGGGTCTTCTAAGTTATGAGGCCTGGGCTGTCCCCATGCAGAGAACCCAGAAAGCACCCACAAGGGCAGAGCTGCCTTGTCAGCCCTATAACCAGTACAGTTCGTGTTATTCAAATTCCCCTGGAGCTGCCACTGCTGCCCACTCTCCTCCAGTGAGTTCTCAAAGGTTCCCCCAGCTAATATTCTTGGCAACTGCACTTTGTCAGAGTGAGGACCTTCTGGACACTGGACCTAACATCCTTTATTGCCCAGATCCTGAACAGCGGTGAGAAGATGCCTCCCCTTTCAGGAAAGGTCAAGCCTGGGTAAACTGCTTACTTAGAGCTTGACTAAGGCTGGGGGCGAGGGGCTAGGACCAGAGTAAGACTTGACGACTGAGACAGGATCAGGATCAGGAGCTAATGAAGGAGATTGTACTATTATCTAATTATCCAATCCAAGGAGAGTCATACAATCCAACCAAGTGGTAGAATCAGCAAGAGGAGTGCCCCGAGGAAATTCCCAGCATTTCCCAAACACCCCAAAACTCTTGCACACCATATTGCCATGCACATTCTGCTTGGAATGCACTTCCCACCTTTATCTGCTCAGCAGATTTATCCTTTACCATCAGGTTATAATGACACCACCTCTATGAAGCCAGCCACTCCCTATTTATAGAATTTACCACACTGAGTGTGAAATATACGTTTACTTGCTTGCCTCTCATGTAAGTCTGTGGACTGAGGGTCTAGGCAGCATCCATTGTTTTTTGAGTCTCTCCAAGTACACAGTTCAGAATCTATCACATAGTAAGGGATCAATTGATACTTGTTTAATGAATGACTGGACTTGAATGACAGAAAGTTGTTCACAACGTACTAAAGAGCCAATATCTTTTTGATGCTCTTACTCTGCTCCACATTATTAACTTATGGTGAGAAAGAAGGGGATGGTGGGGTTTTTTTTTTTTTCATTTTCTTCCTCTCTCACCCCATCTGACTCCAGTCACTTAAATGTTGACATAGAGAGGAAGATGAGGAAAGGAATAGGGAAAATACCTTTGAACTAGTAGTAGACTTTGTGTTGTCTGGGTCTGGTTGGTGTTGATAGTTGTTCTGTGTCCATCATCAAAGCACCATGGGTGTTTCTACAGGCTCTTCAGGGCTTCCCTGCTAGGTCCCTCTGCTGCACTCACCAATGCAAAGGCATCTCTATTGCCAATAGCCCCTTGTCTTTCTACTTCTGGGGTCCCTTTACCCCTCCAGGAGGCCCTGACACTACCCAGGATGGGCCTATACAGGCTCAATGTTTCTCACTTTGCCCACATTTGGCCTATAGGAAATATTCCGTGACAAATTCAGGCCAATCCCTGAATTTGGGTGTGCCATAAAAGCATTTAGTGGCTTGTCTCTTTGTTAGATTTCAGGGCAGGAGGTAGGCCCAATCACTATATCCACCTGCCAAGTTATAACGAAATGGATCTGGCACCTAAACCCTTGTGGAAGTCCTCTCTCCCAATCACTTGGCTTAAGAAGTTAAAGGTAACTCCTCCCCTCCCCATAAGGGTAGGGATACACAGCCAGAAATTTCTCCACATAAACTCTCTATCTTCCATCTTCTTGATCCCATAGATAAGAAATTTTAAGAATTTTATTTTTTAAAGAATTTTAAAAGATTTTAGAAAAAATACATATAGTAATTTAGCACCCCACTTTGAAATTTCATATGTATTTTTTTCATCTCTATATATAAATTTCATATGATATATATAATTAAAAAAAAAGAAAGTCCAGGCCCCCCCCCCCCCCGTGGCGCAGCAGTTGAGCGCTGGGTTGCGAAGCTGCCCGCGGCCTCTGCGGCGCTGGTTCGATCCCTGGCTGCTCCCCGGCCACCGGTGGAGGGTCCCACACGGCGCGCAGACCTCTCCTGCCGCCCGCTGCTCCCCTCAGCAGTGTACTTCGGTCCTTCTGCCTGCTCTGCTCCCCGCTCTGGCTCTGGTGAATTCTCTCACCCTCCCGCGCTTCTGACTGTACCCAGTGCATGTATAAACAAAACAAACAAATAAATAAATAAAAACATGCCTCTATTAAAAAAGAAAAGAAAAGAAAAGAAAGTCCAGGAAGCCTCTTGGCATGGGGTAGAGGGAATATCTATAAATAAGGAGTAAGGCTGGGCTACAGGATCCATATTATAGCTCTGGAGATGGTTAGGACATAAAGCATGCTCCAAGAGATTTAGGATATAAAAGAAGAAGCCAAGTTCACGTGGAGGGGACCACCGTCGGTTTTCTTACAAATGATCAGTTGTCTCTCCCTCCAATTCAGCCTTTGAGGCTATTTCCCTCCTCTGGCTCATCAGACAGGTCTGAACTTGATCAGACTGTAATTTGGTCTGGTTTGAGTATTTTCCCATAAGGCCCTTGAGCGTCAAGCACTTCAAGCAATGTGTGTGAATTGGTGTTTGTTTGTCTCCAATATTCCTGACACTTCATAGGACATTGGGAGGCTTGTGTCCAGCGCACCTAGAGAACCTCTAGAGGGCGATGTTACTCACTTTCACACATCAGTTAACTCCACTTTCTGCTCTGGTCAGACAAAATACCCTATTACATTACTTTGTTATGCTTCAGTAGATTTTCCAACTAGCTATTACTATATTGTATTATTATCCAATATTACTTCTCCATAATATATGTTCAAAGTATGTTTGTTGGGTGAATGAATAAAGGAGTGAATGAATTCCCCCTTAAACAGATCAAAGATTAATTATTGACTAATTAGTATGTCTTCATAATTTGAACCATTTTTCTTTTGCTCCTCATGGTAGGTTGCTGATGGATTTTATGTCATTAACCTTCCTAACACTGAGGTTGACTCCATTCATTTATTCAATGGATGTTATTTCCCCTGCCACATGTAATTCTATGTTAACAA